ATCTATCTATCCATCTATCCATGTATCTATCTATCTATCTATCTATCTATCTATCTATGAATCTATCTATGAATCTATCTATGAATCTATCTATGAATCTATCTATGAATCTATCTATGAATCTATCTATCTATCTATGAATCTATCTATCTATCTGTCTATCTATCTATCTATCTATCTATGTATGTATCTATCTATCTATCTATCTATCTATCTATCTATATATATATATATACGCATTATAGAAAAAGCAAGGTTTCGTGCTTTTTGGGGGTAGTATATTGCTTCGAAGCCCATTTGTACGTACAGACTTGGGCCTCCAGCCCCCCCACCCGGCCCGGGCCACCACCCCCTTTCCGAGCCCCCGTAGACCCCCGCACCCGCCTACTCCCCTAGGCCAAAAACAAAGGCGACAAACAAAGGGGTCAAAACAAGATCTCCACCCCTCCTGAGCACGAGCATCACATGGCTGCCTGAATTGAAGGGGATCTGTGAAAGCTGTCAGTCGTACCCTGCCTTGTTGCCTGCGATCAGGCTCTGGACCAGTTGCGTCATTCGGGCAGGTACGCTGGAGACAGAACTTGAAATCTTTAGCCTCGAAGCCAGAAGTCATGGCCATGTCTTTCCTTCAGTGCTTGGTGCATCCTTTGGGAGGTTGGAGCCTCGGGGGTGCTCGATGATGCTCTGGTCGCTGGCTTCGCTCCGGCATGATGATCGTAGTGAGTGCGGCTCTCGGACTCAAGCAAGCCCAGTGTCGATAGATGTTCCTTATCACCATGGATGGCATTTTGCTGACCTGCATTTCGTAGCTGAGGCTGTTCTACTACCTCATGGCCGACACGGTCATTTTGTTGGTGCCTGAGAGAGTGAGACGCAGAGAGAATTGCAACCGGGCTCGTGCGAATGTACGTTTGCACAGTGGTGCACTGGTGAAGCATGCGAGCCAGTAGAACGTCAGGAGCCCTCGAGAGACGCAACAGTCCATCCAGTCAGAGCTTTGCTGTGTTGTGGGACAAAGGGATTAGGAAGTTTTCTTCATCAGCTTGCACTCTTTGCGCACCTCATTGAAACCACGGCAGATTCTTCGGTGAGCGCATGGCCCAGGCCTCGTGCACGGGACTTTGAGGCACAGGACCAAAAGGGAAGACAATGACAACTGTGTCTTGACAGTTTTTTGTCGCGCGCATGGAGAGAAGCGTTTGCTTTGAACAGAGGATGTTTCCAACTGCCTCTGGGCTTTCGCCACCGCCCGTCAGATCCTCAGATTCGTCTGGCCGAGGCAAGCACGGCAAATGCTTTGCAGAGGTGACAAATCAAATGTTGTAGCTAAAGCAGAATCGAGTTGGGAAGCTCAGAGACAAAGTCGTCCAGAAGCCACGTGCATTCACCAACTAAGCGGCATGAACTCAAAGTTGGCTAAAGCAGAAGCAGTGTCTAGAGTCTAGCGAGTATGCCGCTGGGTTCCGACCCGAATGGTGCTCTGAGGTGTCCAGCATGAGGCTGTGTTCCAGGCTTTGGTCTCTCAGGCCACGCAAAGCGTCCACAAATTCACGTCGCAGGCCAGATGAGGGGATGTGAAGAGAGGGCAGTGGGGGCTGAAGGGAGTGGCTGGGACTGTTTTTGTGGATATAGAATCAGAAGTCCCAGACCTGGTCCGAAGCTGCCCTGGAGGCCTTGGCCAACACGACCTGGGCTTGTGCCAAGATGCATGCTCGGGAGGCAAGCTGCACAGGATCTGCACAGGTGCAGGCCACCATAAAAAGTCCTCCTATCAAAGTCAGCTTCAGAAGGTGAAGGTTCAGGCTTGCCGTAGAACGCAGCAAGCGACTGTCTGGTGCTTGGGCCGAGGCCAAAGCCATGGTTGCGGTTGCAGCAGATGAGGCTCTGGAGTTGGCTTTCACGGTGCGGTTGCTGCCATCTAGAGCAGGCTCTTCGTCGTCCCCAACGAACGTGGTCGTCACAGGCCAGGATAGCTGCAGACAGTGGGAATGCGAGAGACAAGATCTCATAGATCCTGATCGTGCGAACGAAGCTGCCGGGAGGAGGTAGATGGATTGCCTCTTCCCGGCAGGGCGTGGCTAGGCATGTAGTTAAAGTAGTCGGTGCAGAACAGTTCAGCACCGTTTGCCCGTTTCTATCGGAGGACTAGAGCTGGATGCAAAACTTTCATTCCACTTTCAAATCTGCGACTGTGGTGGGCGCAGAGGGCCTTCCGGCCGAGGAATGAGCTGCAAGCATCAGTCGATCGAGACGCGTACTGCAAATTGGCACACACCACACTTCGAGAGCTTTTCCTGACGTCCAGAACAGGGTCTTCTGCTCTTGCGGAAGGGGTCGCTTGCACGCAAGGCACCGAAGGCTGCGCACGGAAAGGGTTCTGTGTCACAGAGACGGAAAGAGGAAACACACAGCTCATCTTGCGGTGTCCGGTACAGAGCTTGTATTTCTGCACAAATGGCAGATGCTTCAGATGATTTCCTCGACAGGGACTGGTGACATTGTGCTGGGCGTCAGCGGAGGTGCAGGTAGCACCTTATCGGCTGTCAGGAGCCGAGCTTGGAGTGACGGAACAGGTTTGAGTTCGTCTTGAGTGTACCGCAACGACATGACCGCATGTCGGGCTAAGTTGAAGACCTCCTAATCCAAGCGTCACTCCTTAAGGCTGACCTCCGTCACAGAGGAGTTGCACAGCAGGCCCAACGCATTCAACGCGGGGAGCCTGGCAAATTCCTGACGCCATGGTCGGCACGAATCCAGTCTGTCCAGCCTCAAATAGCCACAGATGCCTGGAGGATGTTGACCTGGCAACGCTGGTCTTCACTTTGAAGGACGCATCCTGGTGGCCCTAGTTGGGGTAGGGAAGAACTGGGAACTAGGTTCGCTCTCAAGTGTAGAGCACGGAGATGAAGCCGGATCCTTGTGGCAAATGCATCGCCGTTGTATGTTGGTGCACATCCTGCACCGCAAAGCGTGGCCGCGAGGAGGAACTCTGGCAAGAACATCAGCACATCAGGTTCGAACAATGCTGGCACGATTCGAAGAGGGAATGAGGGGAATTTCTTGTGGGTCGCTTCGCAGGCAGGCCTGCCTCCTCCGAATTCGAGCAGAGACTGCCAGGCTCAGTTGATGGCGAGAATTCCACAAGTGATGTGTTGTTTGTTCTGCCAATTCTTGTCAGGGCTTTCCTGTTAGTCTCCTAGTAGCCGCCACAAATTGCCAAGACGTGAAGCGATTGGATTGCACATCCGGATGCAGCAGTCAATGCGAACTAGCTGACCTCCAGGAGGCATTTGCCGGCCACTTCTACGATGTTGAGGTTGAGAGCCCAGTGCATCTTTGCGCGGCGAGCTGTAGGTGATGGGGCTGGTGAGCGCAGTCCTGTCAGGGCGCCCCCGCACGGAAGGTCGCCGCCGAGCATGCCCGACCCAACGAAAAAGTCTTAGACCGGCGTGTGGTGTCAGCAAGGTTGAACCTCACAGAGCAGTAGACTGAGTGGACAAATTTGCCGCACTCTCGCAGAGAAATGCTGTCTCCATGTCTAAGCACGGGCACGAACAGAACCAATGGCGTGTTCTCGAGCTGATGTCGGAAGGCGCATTGCTTGCATCTCCCTGGCGAATCGGGTGGCATCCTGCATCAAGGACTTGGTCGCAGTCCCCACACTGCCAATCCGGCTGTTCTTGGAGAGTGCGCATGAGAGGCACATTTCGCATGACGAGACTTTCCGGTTCATGCCCCATCAATTGCCATTGGTGTTGCCGCTGTCCCTGCTGCTGCTACGAAATTCTTCTGAGTTTCAGGCATTTCTTTGGCCAGCCATTTCAAGTGGCTTGTCAACTGGCATGTCATGGCCGATGGAAGGAGCAATGCCATTGACTACTTCAAGCTCAGCTGCCACACAGCTTTAGATCGCTTCAGCATGCTTTCACCCACTTCTGGACAGTACAGGTATCCTTCTCCCACTGCCGCATGGCTGGGCATCTGCATCCAGTAAATGCTGCAGACCAGCAGAACCGGCACAGGATCTAGCAACGGAACTTGTCTGCCATGGCTGCTGCCTGTGCTGAGAATCTGTCGACGCGGCGCGAAACGAGGTGCCTCTCAGTTGCGATGCCCGGGGCTGTGGTGTTGCGTGAAGCACTGCAGGTCACGGCAGAGATGCTGGATGCTCTTGATGGTGGCGGGCCCTGTTCGGAATCTGCTTCATTACGGAACATCGTCATTTGCAATGGTCGGATTCACGCTCTTGAGCTCAGGTCGGTGCCATGATCGTGCAGGCATGGCTGCGGCGCAGTTGATGCAGTCCCGCAGCCTGTTGCTGCACAGGTTACTGAAGTCAAACTATTTGTTCGCTCCTGATTGTGCTGAGAGAGCCCGGACCTGTCCTGTCCCGACATATCCCCTTAGATGTCAGGTTGTTCCTCGCGAGAGTGAATTGGATCGACGGAAAGCTTTGTCGGGGCCGGACAAAAGTCACAAAGCATTGTGGACCTGCTTTAAACCAAGGACCACAGTGGTGGTCAGCAGCATGGTAGCAGCGGACCCTGCTTGGGCAGGAGACGTTTTCGCCCGAGCCACAGCACCACACCCAAAGCGGCAACGCTTTCAGCCGTCCGTGTCGGCCACAGGCAAAGAGACCGAAGCAAGCAAACGACGCCGCCGTCAAGCCGATCGGAAAGGCCAGGGTGTTGTGAGTTTCGTCGCTTGATCCCATGCGGGAGTCGCCGCCCCCTTTCGGCAGGTTGATGAGTTCGGGCGTGAGCTTGTGGAAATTGCGGCGGTCCGAGTTGCGAAACCAGCTTGCAACATGCGACCAAAAACCGAGCTATTCTTCTCTGGATGACTTTATTTGCATCTAACTCGTGTGTCAGCGCCTGACATCCCAAGAGCACCTGCTCGGCTGCAGGCTCGTCCGAAAGGATTGGCAAAGAAGCTCTATTCGTTTGCACGGAGCTTACAGGTCTCGTTATGCAGATGTCATGAACCTCATCACCTTCTGTTCACATCTGATCGGTCGTACACCCTTGCGTTTATCTTTTGCCTTGTGGTTGCTGCTCATGCAGACTCTCGATCGGCGGGCCGTGTCCTGTCCCAGCTCAGCCGAGCCGTGTCATGTGCGGGGCGGGCTTCTTCCCCAAGCACCGCCTCTCCTTATACAATCCTCTCGAAAGGTCGGTGCATGCTCTTGGTGGAGTCATCAGGTGCAAGGATCTACGGTACAACCTGTGCGGCATGGGACCGCATGAGCACTGTCCATTTGATGCAGATTGGTGAACTGGTGCCGGCTATCGTGGTGAAATGTTTCTGAAGCATGCAAAACGAAAATAAGCAGCACAATTTTCGAGAGCCGCTATAGCACCTGTTGGACACACCCAATTGCCGGTCAATGCCATTCGATGCTTCGTGTCCATTCGCCAGCAGAGACATCTGCTTGCCCTCAGCACAAGCTCGGGGAGCCTGGGCCTAGACGCGAACAGAACACCCGGCGCCATGGGGCACCGGTCTTCCCAAGGTCAACCTAGAAACGAACATTTCTACCAGTCGCTTTGCAGGCCTGCTTTTACCACTTAACTCACCCCTACCAGGACTGGCCTTAGTTTGTTCCGGCAATCGACGCAGTCGTCTAGACGACCTGCAACTAGGCGCAATTGCAAGATGCTTGGCATTTGGAGCCGCACACCCACCAGGCTGCCATGCCAGCAACGGTTTTACTACTGACTACTGTGGCAGTCTTTTCAGTCTGTTCGCTATGGGGTTCGCATTTCGTGTGAGGCGCTGCGGGATAGGCTCTGTGCTTTGGGCGCAAGCTTTCCTCCTGCTGGATAAGCGAAGCTAAGACACTTTCTAGGATTGTGTGCCACCAGTCCGCGAAATCATAAAGACCGCCAATCACGAACGGATAGAGGTCCTTCTAGATGGCTGCTTCTGCCGTTTTTACCATTCGCCACGAGGCCGTGGGTTATGAGGCGGCATCTGCTCTTCTCGAGCACTCCCTCACACCCCGCTTGCTTGACGCCTTGTGTGAAGTCTTGGGTGCACCGGGCCAAAGCCTAGCAGTCTAGCATGTTGTTTCCTTTCCTGGAGCTGTGTTGAAACCCGCGTCGTAAAAAGTTGTGCACCTGGGCGGAGATTATGGTCAGTTTCACGTTACCAGACGTCCTCAGACATCTGCAATGCCAAGTGTTGTCGCACCTACAAGTTATGTGCAGACCCTGCTTCACAACGCTCTCGTATTTGCTGCAACCTGGCAAAGTACAGAGAGCATGCGCAGCTACAACACAAAGGTCAGCCGTTTCTTTTATAGTTGCTTAGCTCACCTCGTTTGCACTAACATGTGGTGTCTGTCCAGCCAGCAATGCCCAACACTTCATCCCCATGTCTGCCTGCACGTTTAGCCAACAATCCCAATGAAAGCCCTCTGCGGGCAACTTGAGGACCTCCCCGTGATCCCGGGTGGACACCTCAGGCTTCAGGAATTCCAGATTGGTGTTTGGCTCATGCCATGGACATCCATGGTTTCCAGGTAAGGTCTGGGGAGACTACAGCAAGCAAGACCTGAAAGAGCTGGGTGTCATCTTCAAAGGCAGGAACATGTTGGCATCCAATGTTGGCGGATGAGTTCGAATGCAGGAAAGTTTGGCAACGAGACAGAAAACGCAGTGCTGCAGTCGTCCGTCGCGCTCTTGGGCCCCGAGGGTTGACCTGCAACATGATTTTCCACATTGTGAACGGTTCGGGCTGTTGGAGGTCTTAGCCGGCCCCGCAGATGCAGACTACATCGAGCCTCTCCGATGCAATTCCGAAGCTGCATGCCGGCATGCCCTATGTCAGCGGCTAGAGCAGTCCCACATCGTGCCACCAGCTCTGCCTCCTGAGCGCCAGGGGTATTCGATCCAAGAGCCGTGGCGGTTATGGAGCAACGTTTTATTTCATGGCTCAAGGGCCAAACTGCCAAGGTAATTGAAGTCGCAGCTGCTTCAGATCTTGTCTGCTCTTCCATGATTTCTCATTATTTGAGCTGGGTCTCAACATGCAAGGAATTACACTGAGGGCTACGGCATTCTTCGCTTGAGCCTCGGGGTAAGCCGCACGAAGCATATCTGGGAACGGAGGTGGTGCGAGGAAGTGGCTGCCTGGGCGGCTGGGGTGCAGTCTCAGGTGACCAGGAGACGCCAGAACAGATCGACCTCGAGTGGACGGATTTTGAACGCAGACGGCGGACCTACTACAAGGCATGGAACAAAAACATCCTGCACAGTAGTCAGCTCAGCTGTGACCCGCCTTGCAACAGTGTCAGGTCCACTACTTCTTGCGAGTCTTACGCGACCTTAGCAACAACGAAGGCAAGAAGGACCTCACCTCCGCAGCATGCTAGACAACCGCGCATGATCATCGGTCTACGAGAAGTTACAGTACTGCACGAGCCTGCGTGAACTATGATGTTGATCGCAGTCGCAGTCTTCATGACAGGAGTGTGTCGTGGCAATTCCAGATTTGTGTGAGATTTCCAAAAAATTGAGGCAGGTGTAATGGTCGAGGGCTTTTTGTGCAGACAACCACCCCTAAAAGGCCGTTAGCAAAGTACTCTGGATATTCGCTCACCGCCGTAACTTGCGGAGGATGTGCTCATCCTGTTCAGCACGCTGGAACCACAGTCACGGGCTTGGCATCGTTACCGTGACATGTCTCGGGAGCCATCGTGAGACACGGCACTTGCTGTCACAGCAAAGGCTAGACTAGATCGTTGGATGGATTGCTCGTTTGGGGCATTCCTTATCATTACGATAGACACGTTGGTACTTGCCTCGGCCGCAGGGTGGAGAATCTGAAAAGTCTCTGGACGACTGTGCGAGATTCTCTGAAGTTGGGTCGGTGATCATGGCTGTCTCACTCACGCAGCATGTAGCTTTTCGCTTCCACATGTGAACGCATGATTGCAGCCTGCCAGTTGTAGTTCACATGCTCTTTCGCGCAATCTTCGCGGTGATGCTAAAGGAGCAGCCGCCTTTGCATATTCACTTAGATCTCCTCTTCTTTCAAGAGTGTCTCTGGAATGACCACCCCGCATTGCGCTATGCTTTCACATCTTTCTGGGGGCTTGAAAGCTGTAGAGGCTCCGAATTTGCTTCCAGAATCTAAACACCAGTATCAGAAAATTGAGCATGAATGATGGTACAGTCATAAGTCTAGAGCCTGGCAGATAGCAACAAGCGAGATGTGTGCCGTTCCAGTCTATATCATTTTCACGTAACACAAACCCAAAGCCCGTGCGGATAAAAATCTAGCATCGGCTGTGCTTCTGAAGTCAACATCCATGGAGGCGATGTCAGACACGTCGCCTCTAAGGATGCTCCAAGATGGCAGCAGTTTCTACATGTGACAGCCTAGCTACAAGACCATAAAGTCAGCAGCGGCTCTTCTGTGCAGGAGACAGTGGGGGATTCTATTGGCTACAAGATCAGCGGTGACAGCAAAGTGCGTCGAAGCCTAGGTTTGCTGAGTTTCTACGTGCTGTGGCTTTGGGCTGTGTAGAAAGGTGGGCCTTGAGTAGTTCCAACATGGACATCTGATGGACATCATGACGTCTTGAGGGTTTGGCCATGGCCGAACTTAACGTAGGCAGAGTGGCCTGCCGCTCACTAAGTTGTCCCTGACACTCTTGTTGCATGATTGGATTCAGGCCCGGGGAGGACCAAGTTGGTTTACGTGACGACGGGATACCTTCTCCAGGACGCGGCACATGTTGCATTTCACACATGAGTTAGTTCGATGCCGGACGAGGTGTTTCAGTTTCATACAGAGGGTCGGAGGAAGTGTTGGGGGGCTGTTAGCATGTGCAAAGGGCTGCGGTCAAGAAGTACAACATCAGGGCACAGGTTGTGCTTGCCTGCTCAACAAAGGCGTCCCTGATTGACGCGAAGAGTTGTGTGCGATAGCCGTGACAGTCCGCATGACAAGCAACGCCTGAGTACCTTAACAGGTGGCAGGTCCAGCCTAGCGTATTATGTTGTCACAAACGCGTCACTTGTCAATCGGTTTTCGTCAGCAGGATTGGCCTCAGCATGTTATAGCTTTCTGCCCGTCTATCTTGCTACCCGAAGACACAGACCATGGACTTCAACTTCCTTAGCCCATAGAGGCTTGAGCTTGAGTGCAGTGGTGCTGCTAATTCTCGACATCTCTGGTCTCTGTCATGTTTCATTGGTCGACAGGGGTGCTTGCCTTAACCTTAGATGGTCCGATCCATGGAGACAAAGGCAGATGTCAGTTTGAATAAAAGGTAGAATAAAGGCAAACAAAAGGTAAACTAAAGGTGAAGTTGTGAGGTGAAGCAAAATTAGAAAAAGGTAAAATAAAGGTGAAATCAAGCCGGAAAACCAGGTGAAACAAACAGGTAGCAAAAAGGTAAAACAGAATTGGAAAAGGTGAAGACCAGGCACAAACACGTGACTCGGATTTTCCTGCACTCCAACGCCCGTCCACCAGCCGGGGCAGGCGGGCGGGCTGGCGGGCTCGCGTCCCTATCAGTTTCCTTACGAAAGGCCAAGCAAAGGTGAAAAGAACGTGAAGAAAACGGTAAACAAAACTTGAACAACAGGTACAAGAAAGGTAAATGCGTCGCGCAGGCCAAGTGATCGAGATTTCCCACTGTCCTTTGCGTGGCCTTTATTTTCTTTTTACCTTTTGTTCATCTTGTTTTCACATCTTTATTTCTATTTTTTTAATGCAATTTTTTTTGCCACTTTGCTTCGCCTTTTGTTAAAGGAAAATGATAGGGACGCGAGCCCGCCAGCCCGCCCGCCTGCCCCGGCTGGTGTGCGGGCGTTGGAGTGCAGGTCACGTGTCTTGTGCCTGGTCTTCACCTTTTTTCCAACTATTTCACCTTTCGCTACATTTTGGTTTCACCTGGTTCGAGCTTGATTTCACCTGTTACTTGCCTTTATGTAACACTTGCTTCAAAAGGGCTGTTTTGGCAGCCTTCATCGGAACGATCCTTCTAACCCTCACCTCCCTTGACACATTCCTTTTCGGCAGTGAGTTCAGAAACTAGACTGATCACATCGTGAATCCATGGCCCTCGCACATCTCTTGATGAAGAGCCGACAGTTTCGCAGAGTGTTGCATTTTCTCCATCTTCCAAAAGACCGCTTGACATGTGATCGCCAATGCATCAGCGCCAGCATGTGGGGGTGCCTGAAGTCGTGACATCTTGAATTTTCCGTCTCTCGATCTTTCTGTCGCAGTTACTGGCAAGCATCTGCTCCGTTGGTACAAGTGAGTTTCTAGGCACAAGCCAGGCTTGAATACTAAGACAGGCAGCATAAGTTCATGATCGACTCGCGCAGGTCTTGGTCAACAATCCAGAGCAGATCAGCTCGTACAGCCACTTGATCTTGGATGAGGCAGGTGGCAGGGCAGCAACAGCCCATCCGCCCCGCCCGAAGAACCGAGAGATCTATGCATAGATTCACACATTGCACTCCTGGAGACGATGTGTGTGTGTTTTCGGCGTCGGCAGGTCCATGAACGGGACGTAGACTCGGACCTCCTCTCCTTGGTGGCCCTGGGCTTGGCCTCTCGGGGCTCTTGAAAGCTCAGATGCGTGGGATTGGCGCGGCCTGACGGGGAAGATAGACATGGCCTGATCATGCCGGAAAGCAGAAAGGTCAAGCTGCAGATGTCGGGCTACAACTTCAAGCTCGTCATCATGTCTGCGACATTGCAGGCCTGTCCGAAATTCACCGAATGTCGTCGACATTCAATGCCTGGGGCATGCCTGGCAGGGGGACCTCTTCACCAGATATTTTTCTGAGAAGAAGATCAAGACGATCTTCGTTGGTGTGAAGAGGCCCTGGGCCCTGAAGACTTCAGAGATGCTCCCGTGTTGGATTGTCAGAGCATAGGCCGCAGGCCCTGGGAGCTGTGAACTGGACTACTGCGAATGCCGTGATTTCTCGTCCCAAGTACAGTAGTCAGGAAGTTTTCGAAGGGAGCGTTGGTTCCTCGAATCCGACATCCAACACCTCAGGATCCAGGCACATAGTCGAATGTCTGCACTCCAGCATCACACCACCAGCAGAGTCCTCTGTGTGACCCCGTCAGGATAAGAACTTAATGGAACCAGGCTCCCTACGGCCCAGATGGGCTGAATGTGGCTTTAAGATGCGCGGCCGGCCATTAGGGCCCTACAGCGTTGGAGGCGTTGTATGTGCCGTGGCTCTCCTGGTCGTCTTTGTGAAAAGCGGGCATCGGGTCAAAGCCACGCTCGCCTCGCTGGGGGCGTTGCTAGTCTTCTGGCGGCTGCGAGCACGCTTGCAGCGGGCCCCGAAAGCCTGCAAGCTGCGGAAGAGCGTGCACTTCAACATGAGAGTAGGCTGCATGTCCGTTCCCAACCTATTGGACCTGCCTGAGAGTCGCAAGGCTGCTTTGTGGTGGCAGCCGGATGATTTTGCAGAGTTCTTGAAGGTTCGGCTGGAGATTGCCAAGGCATACAAGACTGCTGCGCAGAGTCTCGGTGTCGAGATGCCAAGTGTTTGCAGTGTGGGGCCTCATGCCCGAAGGGCTTACGAGGCCATGGTCGAAGCATATCCTAGCCTGAAAGACGAGTCTAGGCGTGGTTTGGGCCTTGGCCGAAAGCGCCAGCGGGCCAAGAACCGGGACGCATACATCGCAGCTGTGGTCAAGGAGCAGCTGAGGCAGCATGACCTTTCACGCTTTGACCCGGAGGCCATAGCCGCGGTGGCCATGCGAGTTTCTCAGCAGGATCGGGACTATGCCCACTTCCTCGCAAATATGTATTTCGAGCAGGACAGAGCAGATGAAGCCGGCACTACGGTCGATGCTGACATGACGGCAGCCCTTTTCAACTTGAACAATCCTGCCATTGCAGACGACCGTGGTTGCTCCAAAGAGACACTGAATGATGAGGAAGCCAACTCGCCCAGCCGTCAAAACACACAGCAGCAGTACGGAGAGGACCGTTACACCGAGGAGGAGGTGAAGTGGGAGGGCACACCGCAGGGCACGCATTCTGTGGCATTGACTAAAGGCTGGGGCCTTTCCAAAGACAAGCTGCAGGCGGCTGGCCTCAGTGCCACCGGACACTCCTTGCTGAAGCGATCAAGGGACGCTCCTTGTCCCCAAGAAGACAGCGAACTCAGCAGCGCTGAAAGCGATGGTGTCGGCAGCGAATATGATTGAGCCTTTTGAACTTCGAGCAGTCCAACCAGTCTAATGGTCTAATTTTAACAACCAGTCTCACAACAACCCCTCCATACAATTTTCGTACGAACAGTTCTCGCGCAGAGGAATAAAGATAGTGTGTTGCTTCACTTCTGTCCCGTCAAGCCGGCTGCTTTCTTGGAGGCAGAATGGTCTGATAATCGTTGCGGCCATGAGGTATCCGGTTGAAGTTGTCCACATCGAGCAGCTCTTGGACAGATTCGGAGGAAGGTTGGAACTTCGATTGAACCGAAGGCAGAAGAGCCCTGATTTCGTTTGTCATGCAGGTCGGGCGACTTCATGATGAAGTCTGAAGGAACGCGAGGCTACCAGGCTGGACAGTTTGACGTTGTGAACCACATGGTGGGCACATGGAGCCTGTATCAAGTTCGAGCCTGGACACGCACTTGCAGCCGTTGCTCAAGCGAGTGCGTAGCGCGTGGGTGTGGAAACCTGCGCACGGCAGAGCGGGTCAGGCTCTCAATGTCTCGCAACCGTTAGTAGTTGGCAAGCTGAAGGTCCTCGTTTTTTGTTTTTTGTTTTACGTCGTGGTCGTGCTGTTGTCTTGGACGTCGTCGTCGTCGTGGTCGCAGTCGCGGTCGCTGTCGCGGTCGCGGTCGCGGTCGTGGTTGGTTGGTTGTGGTCGTCGTCGTCGTGGTCCTTGTCGTCGAGCTCGTTGTCGTGGCAGTGGCTGTCGTGCTTGTGGTGCTTGTGGTGGTTGCGGTTGTTGTGGTTGCCGTTGCCGTTGTTGCCGTTGTTGCCGTTGTCGTTGTTGTTGTTGTTGTCGTCAGTTACATACCTCTAGACGCCGCGAAAGTGCGTTCGTCCCCCGAACCTCCGAAAGGAGTGTTACTAACGATGCTTTCTCGAATTTCTCGAAGACCTTGTCTTTTTTATGGAAAGGTTTTTGTGGGTCGATCCTCGAAAACACCACTTCAAGCCACACGCATCTGAAGATTGTGTGCTTCAGTGGTCTGCCTGGGTCTAAGGGAGTCTATAGCCCGCTCCAACAACCCCGGACCAGCGTTCAATCTAACACGGCATGTCGCCGCCATGTCTGGCTTTAGCCGGGGTAATTTACGGTACAAAAGGTACTACGATGTTTCTATTGCTCGTTGCTTGCAAGGTCGTGGTTGTTGGTTGTTGATGGATGTTGGATCCTTTTTGTTGTTGCTTGTGCGTTTTTTTGCTGTTGTTGACGTGCGAATGCGACTTTTGAATGCAGTGAAAGGTGAGGAGAATCTGCCGCCAGGCTAACGAAGCTGAAAGACACGAGTAAGCAACTTGCAAACTGGCGACTGTTTCTCTCTTGGAGCGTGTTTCGTTGATTGATTTGTTCTTGGCGAGCTCCTTTTGCGGAGTCGAGGAAACCGCCAGCCTTGGTGCTTTTGTTGTCGCGGTCGTTGTCGTCTTGTGGTTCTGCAATTCCGAGTCGTGCAGCTTTGCAAGCGCATTTTACCTCCCTGCCCCTTGAACTGGACAGCTTCAGGCACCGAGTGGAGATCATGCTTCGGATTGCCTGGAACGAGGTGGCGGGCCCTACAGTTTCTGTGTCCGCGCAGCCCCTTCGAAGTTCTGAATCCGGCAAATCAAAGCAGTTGGGCGTGTTTCACCGCTCAGGTGCAGCCGCCTGAATATTTGGGTGGCTGGATTGCACCATGTCACCGCAGCACAGCGGTGCTTTCTGCGAGTTTGTTCCGAGGTCTTGATGGATCTGGCGCGCCTAAGAAGGACGGAAACCGGCGGGTGTTTGATTGGCGAAGATTGTTCAGGTCGGATGGGCTTTGAGCTTCGTCCGACTTTTGATGATGCCTGCTTGTGCCTGGAGTATGGTGTGTTCCAATTATGCTCATCCTGGAGCTTTGAGCGCTCAAGAGGTTTAATTGTTGACTTCTCAGCCACATGACTCGTGCTAGCACCATGTTCTAAGTTTTCGTCACAGTATGAGTTTGGATGTTTCAGTTGGGTCTTGCAAGGGTTGGGTGGAAACCTTGACGCTGGTTTGTCCGGCCGTCGATATGCTCAGCCCAGCATCATAGAGATTTTCGCTGGAATTGCTGGAGCCGCATATGTTCTCAGTCTGCATCAAGAGTGATTGTTGTATGTCGAACGAGGAGCTGCGCCGCCCTAAGAGCTCGCGTGGACCATGGGCAAATTTCCGCCCGGGTCCCCAGCGTTCTCCCTTTTCACCGTGACTGGCATGTCCATGCTGGGCAGTGGCTTCATTGCAACGGTTGAGTTGTGCCGCATGTTTTGAGCTTTGGGATGCTTTGCCAGGTTCGACCACTACCTCCAACACGGTGGGTGGAGGCGGTCGCGTGGGCTCTCCCACAAGAATGCCGGGACCATAGTTCAGGTGGGAGCTGGGCGCTGCAGACTGCATTTGACCTTTTTGACCGTCCTGGATGAGTCCCTCTCTGTCATGGCAGTGAAATTGTTTCGGAAATCCGAACCGGGGACCAAAGCCTTTGGAATTTTCTCCGAGGTCCAGGCGCCAGGCTCCCTTGAAAGAAGAGCCGAAGGCAGGAAGCTGTCTTTCAACGCACTTCACATCACGAAATGCATGTCTGTAATCAACCCTAACTAGGCCCTGGACGGCTTATAGTGGCAGTGCTTCAAAGCTTCTTGAGACACAGGCTACAAGTTGTCAGAAGGCACCGGCACCTTCTTTGATTCCTTGCGATGTTGGCAACAAGCTCAGCGGGCCTGATACAATGCCATCCGAGACAGAATCGGAAACTTTTTGAGCGGAGTTACACTAGATTCGGGGTGTACTTGAGGCCGAGTCGCTGCATTGCAGGCCGAGCCGGATGCAGCTCGTACCTTGAAGGGCTGAAGCTCCATTTTGCTGCCGCCAGGCCCGCACCAAAGAACTCTGTGCGCAGCGCGATGAAGCGGCTGAGCGCGAGCGATTGCTGAGAACGGACCTGCTGAAGGCCTGTCTGTTGCCTTGACGGGCCAGTGTGGTCATAACTGTCGCTGTGCCGAACAGCGCTGATGAATGTTGGGGCGTTCGGTTGAGTAATATCACGTCAACCTGGCACTCTGAACGAGATGTCGCCTGGAAATGTAAGTCTGTGTAGCCCTTTGGATGCATTGCATTGTCTCGCACACAGCAAGTCAGCAAGACGCATCGCCAGAAGCGCAGAGCCCAAGGCAGAAGAGGAGATCGCCAACTTAACGAAGGAGCTGGAGGACGTTCGAAAGGCCTAAGCCTAAGCCGAACAGAGATGGCCCGAAGCTGTGCTCTGTTTGCGCAGTTTTGGCTGCAGGTTCTGGAGGTCGAGTTCGCCAGGCCTTTAATTGTTTCGACTTCGTAGACTTGAAGCTTCGGTAGACATATTGATTATGCAATGCGGCTCGCTCACGGATGTGTTCGCGTAGCCATGGCGTCTGTAGGTCCACCGTTGCTGAATTCGCAGGCGCACGGAGGCTGAGCAGCAGCTCGAGCTGAAGAGCACTTCGGCTGCTGTTATGGAGAAAGCCTACGAGCCTGCATGAAAGGTCGATGAAAGGCGCAATCGAGATGGCACGGGAGAGTTTGTTAGTTTCTAGTTCTGGACTCATAGCATGCTACAACTGAGGCATGCACTTGGAGGACTTGCCATCCATCGTAGCAGAAGAGCCTGGGCAGAGACGGGTTCGACTGTGGCAGGCGCTGGCTAAAATCTATCTACGCTTTTTTTGGTGTTTCCCGGTGTGAGTGCACTCTAGGACTTCAGGTCACGCTGGCGCTTTGATCGCATGATTTCAATAGCTGGGAGTTTCACTGAGGAGTGGTTCCGTGTCAGTGAGTTGATGAGACGCCGGGTGCTGAGATGCAAGCCTTTTGCCGGGGTGGCCTGCATGCCACCAAGACATCATCCGAGGCACGAGACTCAAGAGCACGGACGGCAAAGTCGATGTCGGTGCTGTGGCGGCATTGGCACTTCTGTTTCGTCCGAAGCGCGCGCGTTGTCGGAGCCGAGGCTTTGACATCCAGAGCTTGCCGTTGAGTGTGCCAGGGAGCGTGTCGCAAAGCGTGCATGGCAGTGAGCCAGACGACATGCCCGGAAGCAAGCGCAGCAGCCGGCCCGCACGAGAGACTCGCCCGTCTCCTGCATCATGCGTTGTCATTGGCGGACTGAGGCGAAGGCATCGCCAGCCCCTGGCTTCTGAACAGAGCTGTTCGACATTGCCCCCTGGGTTCCAGAGCCATGTTGAGAAATGCATTTTTAGTTTCGCTGTTCACTCTACATCCTCTCCGAGTAATCTCAATCAAACGCTCTTCGAGTAATCTCAATCAAACGCCCCCCAGGCAACGGACCCTGACATCGGAAAAAAACGCTGTGCCAGATCGAGGCTTGAGCGAGATCTCACTCTCCGAAGCCGAAAGCTTCTCCGTCACGGAGAGCGTGGTGGAAAGACTACCAAAAACCGCGGGCCTTTGCCCCGGAGACTAGGGGACAAGCTCCTCTCCTGGTGCGTGATGCTCCCCCCCGTGGGACTGCTGCAATGCATAACTCTTGCTGCTCTGCAGATGATATAAGAACAAACACGTCTAGCACTTGCACAGACGAGAACCATGGCTGCATGCCTTTATACCGATGGGCAGACCGCAGCAGGAGTAAAGGCCACGTGGCCCAAACTTCGTCAGAATGTGCATAGTCTGCTGGTGGCCTTGGATGTGGCTTCAAAGTCTTCCTCTGATTGTGCGACGATGGAGCAAGTCTCCGGTCCCCAAAATCGCAGCCAAAGGCCAACAGCCTCTCATTCTCCTGCCCATCCTTTGATGCGGTTGGCGAGGCAATGTACTCGAAATTAGTTGAGGTAGCCTGAACTGCAGTGTCCCGACACCAGTACTGTGACTTGCATGACAGGAGCAGTCCAGGTTGCACGTGCATGCTAGGATCCCTCTTTGGCCGAAGACCTTCCAGGGGTCCATGCAGCAGTTATCGAGCTTGAAACCCTGATTCGCCATGTACATGGCAAGCTGCACGGGCAGCAAGCCTCGACCAAGCCGAGGCTTCTGCTCGGAGACCGTTTCACCGAACTGCGGTGTGCCTGCCAATTCTACGAGCCCTTCCTGTTGTACGGTCGCAGTGAGCTCCGAAAGCCTAAAACTGTCAGGTGCTGTTCACGCCACTGGCGCTCAAAGGAACTTAGAGCCAAGGGCCCAAGGGCCAGGAGCCTTGCTCCACGGTGTACAGTTCCCAGGAAGGCATCTTCCTGGTACAGGACTCTGGGCGCATGAAAGGGCGTTCGTCTAGATCATTCATGGCACTTCTGGCCGCTTTTCTTAAGGCCGTGTCTACTGCTCAGAATGTCTGGCTAAGTTCCTTGTAATGAACACTTCCTCCCTGCGGCTTCGATCCCGAACACTTTACGATTGCATTGCCAATTTGCGCTGGGGTGATCGCGATTGTTAAAACCGGAATGTGAATCCACTCTGCGGCGCTGCGGCGATGCCACCCTGGATGGGACGCTGGAAGCATGACTCGCCTGGCAGTACCACTCCTTTCTTTGCACGGAGTTGCCACTTCGTACGGTTTGTCTCAGTGTGCTGTGGCCGACATGAGCTAAAGCCCCTACTGCTCCTACTACCGGTATACTACGGGATAGCCCTGATGTTCTCTCTTGCTTAGCAGGCGCCGTTTGCCGGCAATGCCTATCGGGTCGTGGGCCAAGCATGGACAAGTTCTGCAAGCCATCACATCTGCCAGTGGCAAGTTTTGGCGGAAGTAAAGGGGATGCTCAGTTGGGGGTGATGCATGTCCGGTCACGCCTCTTGAGTCTTGCTTGCAGAAACCAGAATTGAGGCAATCAAAGATGCCGAGCGTGCCTTCGGCACGGGCGGCAGAGAGGCGGAAGGTTGGGAGGAGGAGCGCTGCGCAAACGCTGATTCCGTTGCTGGTGGTGTCTCGGGTCTTCATGGCGCTGGCAGCTTCGGGTGTCCGCCCCCAAGTTGCATCTGGAACCGAAAGCCTAAGCGCCAGGAAAATGTGAAAGTAAAGGGGGAGTTCGACTCCGACTCAGATGACGAGCCACCACCTTACAGCCGCTTCAGGTAGAGCTTTTTTGAACAAAGTGATGAAGCAGTGATTAAGATGCATATTGAATGCTATGGTGAGGCAAAAGGTGTTAGTTCTTGCATGTGGAACAGATCTGGGGCTTCGAAAGGTATGCTGATGCTGGACTTCAGGAAGTTTGTCTCTTCTGAGTTAAAGTTTGCTGTAAAGTCTTGCAGGTCGGGTGACTCCGACTTCTCCGCCGAGGAGACGGCTGCAGTGGCCAAGGAACGGCCTTCGCACCGGCTTCTTTTCTCGTTCACGTGTTTAAAGTTTCCAGGCTGAGCGGATGGGGGATGAGGGAAAATGCGGGGTTTGGCACGGGACAAGTTCCGCCTTTTGGCTGTGCAGCGCGTACCGAGCTCTGCCTGGCGAGGCGATGGCAGCTCCGAAGCGGCGGCGCAAAGAGGCGTGGCAGCTTCAAAGCCGGGAATCCGGAATGTTTGGGCAGACGGGTCTCTGCTTGACAGGCCTTGCGGTATCTCTCGTATGTATAAACAGACACCAGAACGCATTTTGGAAAGCTTCCGCTGTGCGAAATTACTCTCTAGGATTTTGGCCGTTCCTGATTCCTGCCAGGTGTCACCGAACATCATTCGAGGCAAGCTTACAGCGTTGCTCTGAATAGTGTGCCTGAATTCGCCAAGATGTAGCCAGGTCTGGACACCTTGGTTTATGAGCTGGTCCTGCGTGTTGCGCAACCTGGAGAAGGCTCACAGGGTGCAGTGAAAGTAAAGTGCTTGACGAACGGATCGTGAAGCTGTTGTACTTGTCATGCTTCAGCCATCCTGAACATAGCTTCTCGACTTCGAAGTCTTGCCCGAACGCCTGTGCTGCGAGATGTTTCTTCTTGGTAATCGCACACCATAGAGTTTTCGCATGATGATCTCTGCAAGGAATTCTGGTATTCCTGCCCGGCATCGGCGAGATCAGTGAGCTGCAAGAGCCGCTCGACTTATCTTTGCACATTGGTTGCGCGTCTTCGGAGATCTCTTGTATCCGATGGATTTTCGACAGTTGTCGTAAGGCGAGCACTCGAGAAGAGTCTAGGGTGCCTTGCCCGCTCAGGGTGCTAATGCCCTTGGAGGACGTCGATCAGCAGGCTTGCCAGTGTCTCGCCCCGAGCCCCGACTCGCTTTGAGATGAGCACTCTGCAGGCGCACATGAACTGGTCGCCCGGCCTCGAGCGCAACGACCTCCACTTCAAGGCAATCACCGCGACTCTCTTGGCTGTTGTTCGGACTTGCCTCCTCGAGGTCTTCGTGCTGCATTCCTTGATTCCGAAGGACATACTTGCAAAGGTTTAGCGGTAGTGGAGCTGGCCGCAACCTGTCCAGCTCAAGGTCGAGATCTGATCTGGGCAGCAAGAAGTCTGCAGCACTGTAACATACTAATGACATATCTATCGTATGATCAGTCCCAACGTGCATAACCTCAGAACCAGTCTCGGCTCGAAGCAAGGACGAGCAGGAAGGCGCCGTCTTTGACCCACCGCCGCCAGACACGCCCTGTCCCAAGACTTGCCGTGCATTGCTTCACGAGGGCCGACTGTTTCGCACAGTCTTGCCGTGCAGCTTGCAGAGTCTGACCTGGCCCAGGGCTCACATCATCCTGGCTTCCAACATCGCAGAGTCTTCTCTGACGATCCCCAAGGCATGGCGGCAACGACTTAGCCGGCCTAGCCGACCCGTAGCCCTCCGTCCGTGCTCCGCAATCAGTGCGATGCGTGCAGGTTCGCATCGTCATTGACTTCGGCCTCAGACGCCAGCTGATCTACGACAAGCGCCGACATATGTCAACCACTCAGTGCCACAGAAGATGCGCAGACCTGCTTGAGGATGTTGCACTTTCAGCAAGAAGCATGGTCGACTTGTTAATGCTTGTTATCGGGGACAGGTGTCAGACCTCGTGGCCTGAGTAGTGCGGGATGGAGCCAGGTCTTGTTTGGTGACTACGTGGGTGTCACAAGCCTCAGCCAAGCAGCGGTGTGGCCGGACTGGCCGTGTCTTTGAGGGGGTAGCGCACTCAGCAGACGCATGGCTGTGATCCGAAGCAGACATGTTCAGTTTCACACTCTCCAGGTGAACATCAGGCTTTACACCAAGCAGTTCTTCGAAAGCTACATGGATGAGTGGGGCTCTCAGTGTAGCGACTGAAGCTTGAAGCTTGGAACGGGTTTTCGTGGATTCTGTTGTCCATGTGTCCTGGCAGGTTCGATCCTCCAGAAATGCAAACAGCTCCGCTTGAGAAGCTCTACGTGAATGCAGGGGTCTCGGAAAATGCTTCCCTCAAGTTGTCTCAACTTCTCGAAGGACTGCGTCCTGCGTGCTGAGAAATGGAAGCTTGTGATTTGAAGAGACAGCTGGAATTTTGCTGATTCTCTGACACATTGATGAACAGGTGAAGCACTTGAGTGCCAAGCTTCCTGCGTACCAGGCCTGACATACTCCAGCAAGCTTCATGCATTGACTCAGAACGGGTTCGCAGACGTCTGCAGGGACCTCGCAGGAGTGATGAGCTCTTCTGTCTCAGACCTCGGTGAGGTAACACCCACTGAGTTCCGCAAGCGCACTCCAAAGGAGCTCCTGCGCAGCCGACACCATTAGGGGGTGCAAGGCATGCGGCGTACGGACTCGTGGATTCTTGGCGCCAAAACCCATTTCATGTCATGTTCTTTACTTCGATGTCGCGCGGTTTCCTTGATGTTGGCCTCATGCAAGGGCTTAGCGGCCCAGCTACAAGGGGGTGCCTGCTGACCGAGAGTATGCAAACCAGTAACCAGACGTTGGGGCGTGCGGATCTTGTCGAAAAGCTCACAAACCTCGTCCTGGAGCTCATGTCTGGTTGAATGGCCGGCAGAATGCGATATGGTCCCCGAAGCTCGACTGCCTGGCAGAAAATCTGGTCCGCAGTCTTGCCAACCTGCGCACATGCAGGGGCTGATGCAGAAGGAATGACATTAGGGAGATCGAGAAGATAGAAAAGCATTCTTGGCGTGGACAGGCCCTAGACGTAGACTCGCAGGCGTAGAGCATAGCAATGCCGATCCGCAACTTACAGAGAAGGGAGAATTAGGAAAGGGATGAAAGGGATCTGGGACATGCGCTCGTGCCAGGATGCTCGTTGCCCAGCCACCAGAGGAAAGCGCCCGGACCCTGTCTTCGAACACCGGATGCTCAGATGTCTTGTCTCCACCCCGTTTTGACTTGGGTGGCGAGTGACTTACAGTAGTCAATTCGTCCTGGAGCTATGTGACGTGGTCGAAGGCTGCCAGCATTCTGTTTGGTAACTGCCCAGGCCATTGCAAGCTCCATCGAGGCCATGCCTAATTCCACCTAATTTGTTATCTTTGCGTGTCTTCCTGGAAGTTTTGCGATGATGGGGTAAGATCTGGGAAAGTGAGCGCATTTCACAGTACCACAGTACTTTGGTAAAGTTGCCGGCTATTGCACTCGCTGTTTCCTGGAAATATGCTTTGAGAATGTGAAGCACCTGTGGCCTTCAATGAGATTCAACGTTTGAAGGGGCTAGGCTGCGCCCGGAGGCCGGCATGGTACGCAGCAGCCATTCGAGTAACGAGGTATCTCAAGATGCAAGCTGCTTTAGCAGAAAGTTCACTGCAGCCGAGCTCTGCCTGGCTTTTGTTGCCTTCATTCTCCTCATGTGGTTGAGTCTCTCAGGGAGCTCGAGCTTCTACCTACTCATATCGGGAACAGAAAACCACGCAACAAAGCATGCGGAACCTTCAGCATGGGAGGAGACGAGACACGAGAGCGAATAATTTGCAAACACGGCTCGCCTTCCTCGAATGTGTCACCCGCGACTTCAGGGACCCCAGCGGGGAGCCAGCATCCATCAGTATCCTGGGCATCATAGGGATCCCAATGTCGCTGTGGAGCGGCATCATGATCATCATGGAATCTTTGAGGCTGCCGGGGGCTGCCCTCCCTTCAACATCGACTTCATGTTGCAACGTGTCGTCCTGGTGCCGAAAGCACGACGTCGACAAGTCTTCGCACCGAGGCGTGCTGATAATGCTCCCTCATTCTCAAGGTTGGCTGCAAAAAACGCGCTTGGGCGGGACGCAGCGTCAGTGAGTGGCAAAGGCGCTCGCCGTTGCCCCGCATGACATCCGCAGATGCCGAGACCTGAACGGGTGTCCTACACCCGAAAATTGACCCACAAACTTACATCCTACAGGAATTTGTAAATCCACTAGGCCGACGACAGGCCATCAGTCCCTCGGTGCTTGAGAGCAACTGCACTGCTGGCAACGCGGCAACCCCCACCGGGTGCCCAGCTGCGCTGGAACACAACCGGACACCTCGAACATTTTTGGGGCCATTGTTACTTCCCCAAACCGGTGCCACTGTCGGTGGAAGGCTGACGTACTGGTCATGAACTGACAAATTGCAGCTTTCATAAACCGCCAATAAACGCTCAAATCTTCACCCAGCTCAGAGATGGAAAGCTGAGGGCCATGCGGCTCGCACTCCCGACTCACTATGCACAGGACCCCGGATCCATCGTAAGCTCGTGCGCATGTGAACTTGTCAGAACCTGGACCAGCTCGGAGCGCTGACAAGTGACTCGGAGTCCGCAGAGCTGACGGTCCTCGGGTGCGCCCCGGGGAAAGAAAGCGCAGCCCAAAGCCTCTTTGATAATGCTCACTTCCCTCACTGTCCTCATGGCACTGCAACACAACATCGGAGATGTTGATGTCGTTGTCACAAACTGTTGGCAAGCATCTGTTGTAGCCATGGCATGCCATGGCAGCATCCTCAGTCCTAATGCTGATGTGGAGTCCCCAAAACCGCAAGCTCTGAGACCCGAGCCGAGAATGTCTGCCGGAATTCCCAAACTTGGACCAAAGCATCAGGTACTTGATGATGGCGGTTCCACTAGACGTCCGAACCTCTTCTTTGGGGTTTTGCGGCTCCTGGTTGGTCTGAAGGAGCTATGCCCACGTTCGCTGTTTTGCAGTTTTCGCAAGATCCGATGCACTGGCACGGGTGGCCCTTAAGAGCTGGTCCAAAAGCTGATCTTGTGTGCTGTGCCACCGCTGCGATTTCAGGTTCAGCTCTGCCGCCTGGTCATTTTCGGCGCCCTGCTTGGCATGCCGTGCGCCGCTGACCTCAGTTCCTGCCGGGCATCGAATGCCTCTCGCGGGCTCAGACACGGGGTAGCTGATCCCCTACAGCTGAGCCGGAGACGGCTTAGCAACCTGATAGGTTGGTAAACACCGCTCGGCACCGCCTCCCTTCAGATGAATGCAAAAACGCTGAATGCACGAAGATGGCTGGAAAGCACGTTATGCCATACTGCACGATTGTACTATGTTATGCTAAGCATTTGCTATGATACTCTATGCTATGTTATGTTGTGCTATGCTATGCTGCATTATGTTATGTGATACTATGTTATCTTATGCTAAGCTATGGCATTCGTACATCGTACTCTACTTCGCTGCATTGTGGTTTGCTACATTAGCTATTTTTCGTTATGCTGTGTTACGCCTTGCCATCCCATGCCGTGTTATGTTATGTCACGCTACATCGTGCTATGTTTGGCTGTGCTGTGTTTTGTATATGTTACGTTATTTCTTTTTGGGGTGCAAGAGGGAGGTTGTCGACAAGCTGGGGTAAAATCATCCGAAGCGGCTTAGGGGGCAGCAGCAGCCGAAGCCACATTACCCGAGGAGGGAGTCGTGTGCGCAGCAGCGACCAGCGTTCAGGCCTGACTTTCGGGCGTGAACTATCATTCTGCCAGAGAAGCATGGGACGAGAGCAAGTGTTGGTTCACGGAACCGACTAAACGATGCTAGCTGTTCCATTTTCTCCGGCGGACGCTTGTCGTTTCAGGATCCATTCACATTGCCCTCGCACCTCATCATGAAGGATCCCAAAGAATATGCTGAGGCCTGCCGCTGACAGAAGTACGTTTGTGCGATTGCGCATGATGTCGTGGTGCAGGCAGTGCGCCGAAGCTACGAGTCCAGGAAGTATTTCGACCATGGCCACTGGTCGGCTCGCTGGGCTCGCTTTGACAGTGCCCCTCGATGCCTTCGGTGCCTTGAGCTGCTGAAGCTTTCTCGCCTGACGTCAGGAGCCGCTGATGCTGCGCAACTTGTCCCTGGCACGGATTTGGGGGAGCTACGAGTAGCGATGGATCCAAGAATGTCCCCCTGTCATGATCATGAGCTTCAGATAAAGGGCCCGTGAAGCTCCCAGGGTGCAAGTTCAATCGAAACCCCTGGCCAATGCTTCCATGTCCATGTGCTCTTTGTGGGAGCACTCAAGAAAAAAGGACGAATGGTCTTGAACGCTTAGGCTCAGCGATTCAAGCAAAGCCAGGTTTGTGCACTTCCTGTTGGAGTTCCGGAAGATGCAGATCGACAAGTGCAACCGTCGTGGGCCCTTGCCCTGGATTCGTAGATAAATCAAACAGCAGCCTGCAGCCGTTCTGTGTTTATTTAAGCCGGATCAGACGTCGCACTGAGGCGCGTGGGCCGCGAGTCCACACGTAGCGCCTTCACGCGCTGTGCACAACGTAGCCAGCCCAGTTCCCATGTGGCATACGCAGCTTTCAAGATCCCGGCATGCTTGGCTGGCCGGTCCGGTGGCCGTGAGTTGCCAGTTTCGGTTACATCTACAGCTGTGTTTGCCCATTTTGCCCACCCACTCTGTCCGCTCTGCTGAGTCATGGCATCGAAGTTTGCCGTCGTGCCCAAGCGCCTGGTCAACTTGGCTAATGCGACTTGACCTGGTCATTATTTCAGCAAGGTGGTCGTTTGGTAAGCCGAGTAGACGCTTGCACCCGCACGACAGCCTCCACAACAAATACTTTCAGGGCATTTTGCAACTGGAAGACTGGAAGACGGTCGTAGCAGTCCCGCCACTCCCGCCACTCCGTAGCAGAGCCTGAGAGGCAATTCTCGACACGGCTGGAGCCCTGGCCGCCGAGTGCAGCTTTTCCAAACCCCGGCGGGAAGCCCTCAGATTTCTTCTGCTCTCCGAGGCCACGCGCATGCGAAAGTTCCTTCCCGAGGCGAGGTGGAGCGTCGGCGACTCGAGCCGGCTCTGAATTCTGATCTCTCGGCCAGGGCTCCGCTCTCCTCAAGCAGCTCGAGAGTCTCCTGAGCCTGCTGCAGGAGCCAAGCTGCTGACGTTCACCGTAAAGCCGAAGAAAAGTTCACTGCAAGCCAGGCAGGCGAGAGGGTCTACAGCTCTGTGGAGGCTGCGGAGGCACCGTGTTTCGCCAGATTGCCTTGTCCGTTGAGCCTTAGACTTGCGAGATCTGGGACAGCGACGGTATCAACCATCATCAACCAGAATGCAAGATTCATGCATGCATACTTCGATTTGGGTTTGCTCCGCCGTTTGCCACACTTTGTGTGGACGGTGGCCAGGAATACTACGGTTGTTTTGCGCTGCATTCGAGGGTTCGGGGAATGAAAAAACTGGACACGGAACTGCTCAGCTGCAGTTTGAGATTTGCGCAACAGCATGTTTTTTTTTGCGGCAAGCCTGCATGGCCCAAAGTGTGCTTCAAAAGGCTTTGCGGACGTTGTTGTGGTTTGGGCACGGATGCTCTAGCTTTGGGCATGGACGCTCTGGTAAAGCAAGTGGATGCTGGTAAACGGACGTATCGGACGTTGTTATGGCGATATCAGGCGACAACATGGATGCCCTGGCAAGCGGATGCTCTGGTAAACACATGTTGTTTCGCTGGGCGTGCTCTGGCAAACTGTGGATGCCGTGGCAAACAGATGCTCGTGCAAATGGACGGGCGTTATTATGGTATTATGGTCTTCGCATGGATTCCCTGCCAAACGGATGCTATGGTAAATTGACGTTGCTATGTTGGGCATGGATGCTCTGGCAGACGGTGGATGCCTTGGCAAACGGATGCTCTAGTAAATAGTATTTTTGGATGCTCAGGCAAGGCAAGCAGATGCCCTGGAATGGACGTTAGTGACAATGGTTTTGCTAGGGATGCCCAGGCAAACGGATGCCCTGTAAATAGACTGTGCTATGTCGGGCATTAATGCTCGGATACGCTCTGGAAAACGGTGTTGAACCCCCATGTGCCGATCCCGGAGTCATTTGCCAAGCAGCGCCAACAAGTTTACCACTGTTTTTACAATCTGTCTGTGTACCTGTTTGCCCTCTCCCTCCCTCCCTCCCTCC